AGGGTTTGGACAACGCTCTGAGGGACAGGGTGGGATTGTTGGGGTGTCTGTGCAGGGCCAGGGGTTGGGCTGGATGATCCTTGTGTGCCCCTTCCAGCTCAGGATATTCTGTGATTCTCATGCATTTATTTTCTCCTTTTTTTTGGTAATTTAGGCAATTCTCTCCCCTCCCCCAAAAAGAGGTAAAAATAACGAAGGCCTGAGCTGTTTTCCTGGCAAAACCACCCTTTCCATCACAGAAACTTCCCAGATGACCCCAAAAACTGTGCCTTGGTCACTCAGGGGTGTATTTGTCAGGGAACCAGGGACCAGAGCTGCAAGTGCAGGAATAGATATTGAATATTTCTCTTTCTGAGGTGAATATTTCTCTTTCTGAGGTGAGTATTTCTCTTTTTCAGGAGGTGTTTTCTGTTTCTCCAGCCTGTGTTGGTTTTCTCACTGTCACCAGCTTGGGCTGTTTTTCTGCCTTTGATCTTTGGGATCAAAGAGCCAGGAGAGGGTGGGAGGTGCTGGGGACAAGCTGGTCACGGAATATTGGATTTCTCCCCGCAAACAATCCTGGAGGGGAAAAAAAAAGGAGAAAAAAAAAAAAAGAGAAAGGAAAAGTGAATAATGAAAAGAGAAGCAGAGGGAAGGTGTGGGGGGGATGTTGTGGTGTGTGGGTACAAATGGCTTTTGGGAACTGAGAGAGTTGGTTCTTTCAGCCTCCTGAAGGGACTTAACAACTTTTTATTCCCCCTGAATTTGTCAGCAAGAAAATGTTCGCATTTTATTTGTTTATTCTTTGTTTTCTTTACCTCAAACACCAGGAAACAAACAAACCACTCCACTAGTTTACAAATATTATTGTTTTGTGAAGTATTATTAAAATATTTTATCATACCTATAATTTAAATTATATCATTTGTAATTATATATATTGTAAGTTAATAGAAATAAATTTCGATTGTAGAATTAAATATAGTTTATAATTATATAGAATATATAATATATGTGAAATATGTAATGTATAAAATGTATAAAATATAAATATATTAATATATAAAATATATAATATATAAATATATAAAATAAGAATATATAAATATATAAAATATAAAATATATAAAAATATAAAATATAAAACATATAAAATCTATAAAATCTATAATATATATAAAATGCATAAAATATATAAAATAAAATATATAAATATATAAAATATATAAAGTATAAAATACATAAAATAAAAATATATAAATATATAAAATGTACAAAATAAAAATATATAAGTGTATAAAATGTGTAAAATAAAAATATATAAATATATAAAATATAAAATCTATAATATATAAAATACAAAAATATATAAAATAAAAATATATAAAAATATGAAATATAAAATATATAAAATATAAAATACATAAAATAAAAATATATAAATATATAAACTATATAAAATAAAAATATATAAATATATAAAATATAAAATATATAAAACAAAACCATAACAATATAAAAATCAGATAAAAATGTGTAAAAATATATATTTGTAACCCAAAGATTGAAGGCTGCCCCTTTCTTAGAGTTTACCATTCCAAAAAAAAAAATAGGAATTAAACCTTTCTCCTGGTGCTGCCCCACAGGCCGAAGGGGAACCACGTGAGCCGGGAAGTTTTGCAACGGAGAGGCTTTGGAAATACTCTTCATTTTTCCACGCCAGGGCCCTTCCAGACCTGGCCGTGGGCGGGGAGCCAGGACATACCGCGGATTCAAACAGGGAAAACAATTTTCCCGGGGAGAAATCCCGCAGATCCCTCCCGCGCTCCTGCCAGCGGCTCCGACGCCCCGCGGGCGCCGCATCACTGACCCGGGTCAGCCCGGCCTGGGGGCTCCTTTCTGCTCCCCCGAGGGGGCTGGAGCCGGGCCGGGCCTCCCTTGGCCCGCCTGTCAATCCAGGGAATGCTCAGAGCCCCTTATCTGGTGGGAATTACACTGCCGGGGGCTGGCTGGGCTCCGGGGCACCCGAGCGTGCCGGGGGGCAGAGGGGACAGTCGGGGGCTTGGGACACCCCTCAGCTCTGCCTGGCTCGGGGCCAGCAAGTCCCAGTCTAAGCCAGGGAGGAACAAATCCCTTGGGCTCACATATGTGGGAAGTGATCCACTGCAAGAAGCTTCTTTGAGGGTTGTGAACACTCAGCACCCAGTTTTGGGGCTGTTTCGCCTAATGGAGCAAAGTTATTTTGCAGTTTTAGATGGCTGGGAAGGCTGGGAAGAGCCTGGGAGTGAGGGGTGTCAGGGGGTCTGAAGCTTTATCTAGAAATGTTCTTGACTGAAGAGTCAAGACTTGATTTTTAACCCCTCTCACCTCAGCCTGGCTTGAGTCCAGAAAGTCTCAGGCTCAGCCTCGGTCCCTACATGTGTAGGCAGTGGGAAGTGATGGGCTGCAAGAAGCTTTTTTGGGGGCTGTGAGTGCTCAGCACCCAGTTTTGGGGCTGTTTCACCCAATGTAGCAAAGTTATTTTGCAGTCTTAGATGGTTTCCACAGAAGGGTTTAGTTTGAAGGGGAAGAGTCTGGGAGTGAGGATTTTGAGGGGTGTCAGGGGGTCTGGAGCAGCCTAATCTCGAAATGTTCTTGACTGAAGAGTCAAGACTTGACTTTTAACACCCCTCACCTCAGCCTGGCTCAGGGCCAGCAAGTCCCAGTCTAAGCCAGGGAGGAAGACATCCTTTGGGCTCACATATGTGGGAAGTGATCCACTGCAAGAGGCTTCTTTGAGGGTTGTGAACACTCAGCACCCGGTTTTGGGGCTGTTTCACCTAATGGAGCAAAGTTATTTTGCAGTCTTAGGTGGTTTCCACAGAAGGGTTTAGTTTGAAGTGGCAGAGCTGGGAAGAGCCTTGGAGTGAGGGTATTGAGGGGTGTCAGGGGGTCTGGAGTAGCCTAATCTAGAAATATTCCTGACTGAAGAGTGGATAAAAGGCTTAATTTGAACTGGTCAAGGCCAGGAAGCAGCTCATCTGTTTTGGAAGGGGCTCACAAGGAGGATGGAGAGGAACTTGGGACAAGGGCCTGGAGTGACAGGACGAGGGGGAGTGGATTCAAACTGCCAGAGTGGAGGGATAGACTTAATGTCAGGATGTTGGGAAGGAATCCCTCCCTGGGAGGGTGGGAGACCCTGGCACAGGTGCCCAGAGAAGCTGTGGCTGCCCCATCCCTGGGAGTGCCCAAGGCCAGGTTGGAGCAACCTGGCACAGTGGAAGGTGTCATCCGGATGAAACTAGATGATATTTAAGGTCCCTTCCAACTCAAACCCCTCAGGAAATTCAGGAATCTCCCACTTCTCCGTGTAGGAAGGGACAGACATGACTCTGGGAGACAAAGTCTGACGCTTCCCAGATTTTTGTCTGGCAGGAGAGGCTGATTATCCTGCAAATAATGCCCTTATTGTGGGTCACCCCGGAGGGCCAGGCAGTCGTGATTCATGGCTGGGTAACAACTGGAATTGGCCAAAGGGGATGAAATGGAGGGGAAAGGAAAACACATCAGACTGTCAGAGCAGCAGGATCAGGGCCAGTTCAGTCTGTGTGGTTTGGACAGCAAATTCCTAATGTGCCGTGGAATACAGAGGAGTTTGACAGGAATTCAGAGGTTTGTCACTCGAATCCCGTTTCAGGCTTCTGGAAAATGCCATAAAATGATATGAAGAGCAGGGAGAAAACTGGGGATGATGTTTTTGCCCTGTGCCCAGGTCAGCAAGGGAAGTTTACAGTCAGGATATCCAACGGGAGTGCTCAGCACTGCCCATGGAGGGGACTTTTCCATATGTATCTTTTAGCTTGATCCTTTCACTAAAATGTTCTCAGGAGGGGGAAATAGAGACCCTAAATTGTGATGGATCCACACAGAATCCCAGACTGGTTTGGGTGGGAAGGGACCTTAAAGTTCATCTCATTCCACCCCCTGCCACGGGCAGGGACACCTTCCACTGTCCCAGATTGCTCCAACCTGGCCTTGGACACTTCCAGGGATGGGGCAGCCACAGCTTCTCTGGGAAACCAGAGCCTCCCCACCCTCAAAAAATTAGGAATATCTTCCTAATATCCCATCTAAACCTACTCTCAGTGGTGAGGGGATCCCAGTCAAGTGTGGGAAGGATAACGCCTTGGCATGGCATGAGAGCGTTCTCCTCCACTTTTAACCCTTGATCCCCACACCAGAAGCTCCCTGGTAGTCCTGGGAGAAGAGCAGATGATCTGTCTGCAGACACAAAACCAGCCAGGAGTGTTTGGGCCTGACATGTGAAAGGAGAAACCACTGTGGGAACGCTGCCTGGAGAGCTGGTGTGGAAGGGTGGCCACCAAGGGAACCTTCAAGGGCCATTTAAGATTTTTTTTAAGATTTTTTAGTGGGGGGTTTTTTGGTGTTTTGTTTTGTTGTTTTTTTGTTTTTTTTGGTTTTTTTTTTAGGAGAGAAAAACCAGGAAAATCAGAATTTCACAACGTCTGTGCTGACAGGAACGAGAGAACCAGGTCAGCAAGTCCAAGCCCCTGACTGGAAATGCAGAGTTTCTGGTTTGCTGGGTAATGTGTCTGGAATTCCAGGAGGGAAAAGGCATTTACTGACCCGTTCTGGGACTGCTGCTGGTCCTTGGGCCTGAGCAGGAAGGAAGTGAGAGCCCTTCTCCAGGGATCTCTCCTGGGGGCCAGGGCTGGGATCCAAACCACAACCACGTCTTCCTGATATCCCATCTAAGCCATTGCCCCTCGTCCTGTTCCTGAGGAAAAGTCCCTCTCTGGCTTCCTCTTATCTTTGGCAGGAACTGGAGATTTCCTATAAGGAAATTCCCATTTCCTGCTCCTCCTCTCCCTGCTGGAGGCTGGATGTCACCTGTGTGTCACCTGTGTGACCCCCCCCCGTGCTGGTGAAGTGCAAGGACAGGAGGTGTCACTCCCGAAGAATTTTGGCTTTAGGGCATGAGCTTCCTGGGCTGGAAACACCTTCCCTCTGACTTCCCAGCATGTTCCAGTCCCCAGAAGAATTCCACCTATTGCCAATAGGTGGAGGGTGAGGAGCAAAACACAGTGAGCTCAGCAAAGATCCTCTGATGGGGAAGAAAGTGCCAATTTTGGGCAACGACCAGCAGGGAAAGCCCAGGCTGCAGGTGAGTCTTTCAGGTGGTCAGAATTGTGTGTTAAATATTAATTATTGTGTATTAATACACAAAGCTGTGTATTAAGTTGATGTTTATGAATGGCCTTGCTGGAGCCAAGTCTTTGGAGTTCCCAAGGCTGGCTCTGCCACGAAACTGTTAATTTTTGGGTGGCATGAGACAAGACATTTTCCTTCTACATTCATTTGTTTACCTGCTGGTTAAACAAGGAAGGGAAAAAAAAAAAAAGCTTTATTTTTTTCCTAGAGGTGAAATCTTGGAGATAAACTGGCAAAAATTCCCAAAACCCCCCTCCCCAAACTCCCTTTTCTCTCACAGCCCCTTCTTCCTTTGGGAATCTGCTGCTGTGAGGAACCTTCGAGGCAATGGGGGCGGGGGGGGAGAAAGCACAGCTCCTGCTCAGACTGCAAATCTTCCAGAGGATTAGGGTTTTTTACTTCAAATAGAGGAATGTAAATGTGTCTGGCTCCATAGTGGCTGGAAATTTCCCTCTGGAGCCAAAGCCGGGCCATACTTGGCGCTGCCAGGACGTTTGTTTGCCCACCCTGGTTGGAAAATGTTAAAGTGGGCTCTGTGTGCTTTTAGTGCCATAAAGAAGAGATATTTTTTTGGGGGGGATAGGGAGGAGGAACTGGGTGTAGGGCTGGCTACAGGTGATTATTCTCCCCTGCTCCCAGTTGGAAAGCTGGGAAGGCGCCGGGTTCGTTTATTTTGGGAGTTTGGGCTCATCCATCCCCCCCTTCTCTGATTTTTAGGCATCTCCCTTTCCTGGCATTTTGTCCCCTCGGAGCTTCCCAAAGGTATTTGGGGCTCTAAATCCCACTGAGGCCAGCGGGGATTTGGGATTTGAGTGCCTTTGTGGTTTCGGGTTCTCTGTAGAAACGCGGGAAGGGATCGAGCTCCTGGGCAGGCAGAGGGGAAATGTGGGCATGGGATGGAGGGGAGCATTCCTGCCTGGAAAAAACAGCATCTGGGAGCGCTGGGAGTGGGTCCAGGGGAAGATTTGAGCACGTATAAAATGCAGGGCATGGACCCTGAGATCAGCAAACCAGCTTTTGGGAAGGGTGGTGATAACAAGGCCTGGAATCACAGGATATCCTGAGCTGGAAGGGGCCAATTCCTGGCCCTGCACACCTCCAAAATCACCACTCAGGTGGCTGGACCTGCCAGGTGGGACCTGCTTTATCCTAAATGTCCCCTGGTGCTGCCATGGGGTGTGTTTTACCCCCCACTCTCCCACATCTGGGTGATGGGGGGTCAGAAGGAACCAGCTCTGCATGAAGGACCATCCCCGGCCGATTATCCCGAAATAAAACCACCTGGAGAAGGACAAATCCTGCCTGTAGGAGCCTGGAAATGGGGATGCACACCCTCTGACTGCTTCTCTTGTTGTCAGCAGTCTTCAAAAGCCTCCTCTTGACAAAGCTCTGCTCTGAGATCCAATGTCTCTCCCAAATCCATGGCACTTGGGAAAGAAGCAGGGCTTTGGCTCCGAGCAGGGGGATTATAAAAGGGCACGAGGCAAAAAAAAAAAGGGGCTGAAATGAAAGCTTGGAGAAAGCAATGACAGGGCAAACGCAGTTGGTTTCAAGTGTGGAATGTCTCTGCTGCTTGAAAAGCTAATGGAAAATTCAGAATTAATCCAGGATCCAGCCCTGCTCTGCCAGGAGGTGAAGGGCACCAAGGAGAAGCACAGGACTGGAAGGTGCAGGTCCTACTTGAGGCTCTGAGTTGCTTTATTTTCCTCCAAATTGGGGTCTCTGGAATATAAGGGGAAGAAGAACAGGGTCTTCTTCACACTAGGGCTCAGTTGTTGGTGTAGAAATGCTTTGGTGTCTTTCTGTCTTACACCTTTCTGGTAAATGTTTCCTTCCTACCTCTTAGTTCAGTTGCAAATGAGATGTTCTGTGTTGTCCCCGTGATTCAGGTCCTTGTCAGTAATTTAAAGACCTGATTTCTTTTGGGTTTGATTGTCCACTCAGTGGGAGGTACAAACCATCCCCCCAGCTCCTGACAGAGGGGGGAAAGTGCTGGATAAACCCTGTGATGGATAAACTTCCCAGGAACATCCAATAAAGTGCAGGGATGGGCAGAAAGAGGCCAGGATGGGCTGGATCAATATTATCCTGATTAATGGGTGGGATGGATCCAAGATGCTGCAGGAGACCAGGGGGCAATGGTTGGTTCAGGACCTCAAGCAGAGCACCCATGGCTGGGGGTTTGGAATGAGAGGATCTTTCAGGTCCCTTCCAACCCAACCCATTCTGTGTTTCTGGGATTTCCTTGGGAATAAATCAAGAAAATCTTCTTTCTGCTTCTCCTTGCCCTCTTTCCCGAGAGCTCGGGAACGAAGCTCTTTTTTTGGCCCGTTCTCTTCCAAGCAGAACTTCCCCCCCGAGTCCAGGGAGCACCAAAAAGTGGCTCCTGACCCTTCCTGCCCTTCCCAAAGGAATATTTTCAGCTGGGCTTTTGGCAGGCTCATCTCTCCAGCCCTCAGTGGCAGCTTGTGTTTGTGTGAGTGGAACACTAATATTTACTTTAGATTATCCTGGATTTTTCAGCACTGAAGGGAAGATTATGCTGCAGCTTTTTCTATATCAGAGGTGGGGAGCAGGGAATGGCAGGAGCAGGGGAATTCCTTGGGATTCAGTGCCTGGCATCCCTTTGGCACCTTGGATCTTCACATGGACCTCCTGGATGTGGCTGGTGGCTGGGACAGCAGGTCTATCCCAAGGCAACCCAACCAATATCCTGGCATCCCTTTGGCACCTTGGATCTTCACATGGACCTCTTGGAGCTGGCTGGTGGCTGGAGCAGAAGGTCTGTCCCAAGGGAACCCAACCAATGTCCTGGAATGAATCCCAAGCTGTGTTTAATCATTCCCAGCACCCAGCAGGCAGGATGAGCTGCCAGGACAAGGGGCTGGCACCACCACATCCCCCAGCCAGCTCTGCCAGTTCAGCTGCCCCCTGGCACCAAACCCGGGCTGGCAGTGCCAGGGCAGAGAGGCTGGGCATCATTCCCATCGGGAGAGAGGCCCTGCTGCCATCCCCCGTGGAATTTATAACTATAAAGTTATGTTTATGAAAAATCAAGTGTGCCCTGCCCACACGAACACACTGATGGCATTGCCTTGAAATCCTTGGGAACGGGTTTGGGATAGGGAAGCCCAGGCTGGGCTGTTCCTGCCCAGACCACACATGTGCTGTATTTATGGAGCAAAGAAACAAACCCTAAATTGTCTCTGTTTTATAAGAACCTGCAGAGCAGAGCTGTGTGGTCTGGCAGTGCCTCCCTGCAGGAGCAAACACAACCTGCTCCATCACTCTGCTTGGGTTTCCCTCCCTTTGGGAAGTTTGGGAGAAATCCTTGGGATAAGCATTCAAAAGAAGCTCTGCCTTGGGAATCAAAAGAAGCTCTGCCTTGGGAATCAAAAGAAGCTCTGCCTTGGGAATCACAGAGTGGTGGAATGGTTTGGGTTGGAAGGGACCTTCAAAGCCAGGGAGTCCAACCCTGTGCTTTGGGCAGGGACACCTTCCCCTATCCCAGGTTGCTCCAACCTGGCCTTGGACACTCCCAGGGATGGGGCAGCCACAGCACAACCTGTGCCAGGGTCTCACCACCCTCCCAGCCAAGAATTCCTTCTGCAGCTGAGGGCAGGAATGTCCAGCCTGGCTGATGGTTCTGGCTCAGCTTCTCTGAGGGTCACTCTCCGGGGGGGAAAAAAAAGCCACTCCTGCTGCTTTTGGGTTTGACTTTTCCATGAGTGCCCTCAGGTGAGGCCTTGGGGACTGAGAGTCTGGTCCAAAATCTCTTCCTCATCAATCTCTTGGCGGAGAGAGAGGCCCTGGGAGGTGAGTGACACGTTGGGTGAGTGAGGAGGGCAGGGTCTGTCTGCCCTCAATCACTTCTCCATCTCCCCGCCGTCACCTCCCTCATCCCACCGGGAGATTTGGGAAGAAAACAGAGTCTGTGCCAGCACCTCACCTCTCCCCCACGGTTTTTGGGTCCCTGCCAGCGCAGCTCTGGCAGTTAATTGGTGTTTTTTGAAGCAGCTTGGCTGCTGCACGTGCCTCCCCTCCCAGTTTGTCCTACCAGCATCCCTGGAAACCTGGGGGGGGGAATCTCTCCAGCTTCACCCCCAAGCTCAAGGGCATCAAAGTTCCTCCTCTGCCTCTTGCCAAGTCGTCTTTTCCCAGTATTAAACCAGTTTCCCCAGCTTGGTACTGGGAGGATTCATCTCTGAGCTCCAGAGGGACAGCTTGGAAAAGACCCTTCAGATCAAGCCCAGCTTTATTTATAAAACGTGATTTTTCATAAATATAACTTTATATAGTTATACGTAAAATTTCTATTTATTTATCTAAGCATATATTTATATATGTAAAATACATATTTATGAGTAAAACTTTATTTATGTAACTTTATTTATGTAACTTTATTTATATCACTTTATTTATATCACTTTATTTATGAAAGCCAGCACTTTAATTAAAAAGCAGCTCTTTTGCAAGGGAGGTTTGAATGATTCCTGCCCAGCTCTTAAGCACCTGTCCAAAGCCTTTCTGGCTGTGGAAAAGGGAATTAAATCCTTTGGGAAGATCTGGGCATTGCCAGAAAGGAGCTGCCTGGGTCAGCACTGGCTCTTCTATAAAGAAAAGCCTTTGAGGCCCAGGTCTATCTGCTTTTATCACTCTTGGATCCACTCCCTGGCATTCACTTCCAGGTGATTGATACTTCCCAAAAAAATTAATCTGAGCTTGAGAGAAGGGCAGGTCTTTTTTTTATTATTATTATTTTTTTAAATTTTATTTTATTTTATTATTTTTTTATTTTATTTTTCCAGACATTTGCAGACAAACAAATCCCAGACAGAGGAATCCCAGGACACCCCGAGCTGGAAGGGAGACCCACAAGGATCATCAAATCCAACTCCTGGCCCTGCACAGGACACCCCAAGAAGACTGTGAAGTGTTCAGAGCTTGGGGTTTGGAGCAACTCCCCCAAAATCTGGAGGCTCTTTGACCTGGGCTGTGTCTGCAAAACTAAACCAGAAAGCTAAAAGGCTTCCTGCAACATATCTAATATTCCTCCTTTCATTCCATCTGTTAAATCCCTTAGGAAAGGACATTTCCAGAGCTTCTGGTGGGAAGGTCTTACAGCAAAGCCAGGGAAGTAGAAGGGGAAATTTAGGGTGGAAATACAGAGGAAATCCTTCCCTGGGAGGGTGGGGAGGCCCTGGCACAGGTTTCCCAGGGAAGCTGTGGCTGCCCCATCCCTGGAAGTGTCCAAGGCCAGGCTGGAGAAACCTGGGATAGTGGGAGGTGTCCCTGCCTGTGGCAGGGGGTGGAACTGGAAGATCTTCAGTGTCCTTTCCAACCCAAACCATTCCATGATTCTGGCAAGTGGATCTTGGTACACAAACCCAGGAGAAGAGTTTCCCAACTCGCTGCATCCACATGGATGGGGAGTTGCAGGGAAAGGAGGAGCTCCAAGGTCATCTTGCTGCTCCCCTGCTGGATGACAGAGGGCTCAGCAGGGCTCAATCCATTGCTTTCAAAGGCTCTGCACCCTCTTGGAATGGGAATTTTGGCCCCCAGAGAGACTAATTCCATCCAGTCCTTGTGCTCAATCCCTGTCCAGCACAAGGAGTGCACCCAAGGCATGGAATGATGTTTTGTGACGGGAGAACACCCTGCTGACCTGTCCCAGGAGGTGAGCAGGTTGCTGAGCCTGCTGTGGTCACAGCCCAAGGAGACAGAGCTGGAAACAGGTCGTCTTGTTAAATGGAAGAGGCCAAGGACACATTCCCAGGGCAATCCTGAGCTGCTCTGAGGCCCTGCAGAGCCTCCAGCTCTCCCCTGTCCCCACCTCCCCCTGGCTCCTCTCCCCACGACATGGGTGGCACGTCCAGCCCCGGCAGACTGTGCTTTCCTGTCCCTCACATTATTCTTGGCAGCCTGCAGGTCCTTCAGAACTGGCTCTCTGAGGGAGCTCAGAAAGATCAACACACACGGGGTTGTTCTGTCTGGGAGGCAGGGAGGCCGTGCAGGGTGGCAGGAAAAGAGAGGAGAGAGGGGTGACCAGGGGAAAATGAAGCCTCACATCGGCCCTGCCTCGGGAAACTTGTCCCCCAGAAGGGTTTGCTGAGGTTCAGAGCAGCCCAGCTGTGTGTGGGGGGGTGGAGTGAGGGATCAGCAGGGACATGGGATGGGTGGAAGGGTCCCCAGCGGGGTCATCTGCTGCCACCTCCCTGCTCCGGGGGGGTTGTGCTGCTCTGTGGCTCCTGAGCACCTCAGCCGACAAATTTTATGTGGAAGATGCAACTGAAACAACACCTGAGACTCAAATCTGGTATTTGAGCTGCAAGAAGGGGCCTGGAGCTGGCGCTGCAGCACCTGTGAAGCTGCTCAGATGAGGTGCTGCAGGTTGGAGCTGCTCTTTCCTCCCCCTTTCCAGCCTGTCTGGAGCAGACACACAACCTGAGCCCTTGGCAGCACCAGGCCACCTATGAAATCAGCCTTTCACTGACAAATTCCCCAATGTTTCATGGCATAATGAGGTTAATTGACACGGTGGCCCTGCAGTTCCCCACGTAACAGCTCCCCCGTCGCCGAGCAAACAGCAGGAATTAATTCAGGCAGCGCAAAATGAGCTCATGTCCAGCCCGTTTCTAACACAGAATTTCTGTTCTGCACTGGCCCGACACAGAGGGCAAACCAGCCCACCTGTTCAGTGCCATTTTGGCAAAGACTTGGGAATAATCAGCCCTCAGTTTGCGAGTTAAATGTTTTCAAAAACAACAACAAGAGGTTCGGTCCTAAAAACCAACCCCCCAAAAAACCCCCTGTGCAGCACAGTCAGAATCGTCCCCAAGGAATTAAAGTTGTGCTGGAGGTCAGACTGTGAGTGTTCTGCTTGGAAAAAAACAGATGAAAATCACCTAAAGCAGAGAAGAGGAATAAACTGGATTGAATTCCTGTGCAGAGCCCAGCACAGACCATTTCCCTGCGTTGTCAGGGGTGGACAAGAAGATTTTAGGAACGGAGCCAACCCCCTCAGAGAGCAGAGTGGGAGAAGCACATCAGCCTGGCTTTGCCCAAAGTGAATCAAGATGATCTTCATTCCAGGAAATTTGTTTTCATTCACTGGAGAATTTAATTAGCCATGGAAGGAACTCTAATTATGCTGAAGAAGAAAGTCTTGGGCTGCATGTGACTGAGGGCCAGTCCTTCCCTATTGTTTCCAAAGTAAACACTTTGGAGGCCTGGGCAATTTTTAGATCATCTGGGTTACAATGAGAATAACAAAGATGGATAAAGTTGAGGCAGATTTAAAAAAATAAAATAAAATAAAATAAAATAGAAATAAAAAATATAATAAAAAATAAAAAATAAAATAATAAAAAAT